AAAGTAGATTTTCTATGACAATTATTTATTACCGACTAACCACAATTTTTTTTTATGGTTTGGAATATTTCTGTAGAAGAAAACCTTTTCAGATCAAGGAAGTTTTGAAAGTGTTGTTGAAAAATTCGTGATTTTTCCAAATTTGGGAGAACAAAAACCCATTAATTTATTTTAATTACCAAATTCGACAGTGCCAAATTAAGAGGCGGTCTCAGGGGGCCAGGACCCACTTTTTACGGGGCCCCCTTCTAAGTTTCCCATTTACTCTTTTACTTTTGCTTTGTTTTTCTTTTTATTTAGAATAAGTTTTAATTTATGAACCAAGGAGCCCTCAAAGGTAGGGTAGCCCCAGGCCCCAGAAATCTAAATTCGCTCCTGTACTCAAAACAATTTACAGAGTTCATAATCAGAATCTGATATTTTGTAGCGATTCGTTAAAATATGAAAACCTTTAAAAACTTCAATTTTTATGCAAAATATCACACGTTAGAAATATATTTTCTGCTTCTCTTTATTATTCTTCATTTCATAATTCTCATCCCTCATTAATATCAGTTGTTGACCCTCTTCCGCTCTTTTTGTCGCAGCCTACTTCACAGAGACCTTTTTCCCTTGATCTCTATATTATTCTGTAATTAGTCTTGATTCTCATTTCTTTAATATCTTTGTGTCCCCCCGTCTCATTCCGTATACCAGCTGTTTTGTTCATTCTGCTCCACTTTTTCCTTGCCGCATTTCTTTCGTCTTTCTCGTTAATTCCTTCCCTTCATTTTCTTCCTCCTATTTTTTTTCTCTCTTTTTTTTTAATATCATCTTTTCTTCCAGTTCTATTCCCTTCCTTTTGCTTCTCTCTAATTGCTCCTTTCTCGTACACCCTTGTTCAACCACACGGCTTTCTACCCTTGCCTCGAGTCAATGGAAACAAGGAGATGGTTTATATCCGATACCACAAACGTGCTAGATGTTATGGATAGCGCACTGAGTTACGGGCCAATATTTCTTCATAATTATTCCACGGCACATGAGATACAGCCGAGACCACGAAGCATCTGTGCGTGCCTGCAGTACATACACTGTCTCTTCTCTTTTTACGCTTTTCAGTAGCCGAGTTTCGAATCTTCTTATTTTACTTTTCTTCTGCACACTTTTAAACAATCCCACGGTTCCTGTGAAATATTCTTCCTTGAGAATATCTTCAATTCGCGAATAGTTGCTCCGGTAAATATATAGGGTGGGTCTAAAATTCTAGTAATAGCGGAGGAGTTATTTCATGTGAAAAAATAAATTAACCGTGAACATCGTAAACGGTGGATGTTTATTAACAATTAATCAGCTGCAAATGTGCGCCATGGTGGATTAAATCATCGATCGAGTAGGCACACTTCCTGTTCTCCCTGTATCGAGATGAAATACGGATTTATTCGTAATTATATTAATTATACTCTAATAAATAGAGTGGTCTTATAATTACCTATTGTTATTTATTACTGAAAAATAAATATTGTCTCACAAAAATTATTGAATTTGCTGATCCGCACCATCTTTCAAAAATAAACGTGATATTTTGACTGATATTAGATATTACGTTTACAAATTAATTTGGTGCACTATGTATTCTTAATTACTGTTTTAAATTTGAATATTTTCCCGGGCTTCAATGTATTTGAAAAATTATTGCTAATTATATCTCAATAATTCTAATAACGATTGCTTCAATAATTGAAATTATCATAATCTCGCGCGGATATTAAATTTTAAAAGATATTAAAATTTTAAATAGTAATTAAGAAGGCGCAATAATCGAATTAATTTGTATGTATTATTCTATGTAATGCATGGCTTTTTAAAAATAAATTTTCAATTAAGAATAGAAAAATCACAGAATTAATTTGTACACCCAATATATCTGTTCAGTCTGAAACATATATTATTGCCAGGGAGAGTTATATTAAGAATTACTCGACTTGAACGAAAGGTGTTTATTTCTTTTTAACGACGTACGTATCGACAGCATAGTTGATTGACAGTAATTACTGTTATCAGTTCGAAGATCCAGACGGGTGTCAGACATAGACAGGTGAAGATAATGAGGGAAACTGTAGACGGCAGGGATCAGTCATAATTGCGCGAAAGTGTTTCTCCTCCTTTTTTTCTCGCGGGGAAAAGTCGAATCGGTAAAGTTAATTTCTCGTTATTTCACCACCCCTGGCGACGATTAACGAGGGCTCGCTGTTATAGTCCTTCGCGCGAAAATTGCTGCAGGCCAACGACGATTAGTTTGAAAATATCCCTCGACTACTGATCATTTTAATAATTCTGTCACTGTAGCTCGACAATCTAATCCATATGGTAGAATCTCCTTTATTTTTCTCTTAATTAACATGTCTTCATAAAAATACTCCAAGTTCTCCTGTTTTACAAATAAAAATAACACTTTTTATTTATTTATTTTTGTTATGTGTAATCTTTTTTTTTAACAGATATTTTATATACAATACTGAATACGATTTCAGAAACTATTTTTCGCTATCACCAGGAGCGGATTAGCCATTGGGAATTTGGAAAAATTCTCAGTGGGCCGGTTTTGGATTTGGAGCCTAATTAATTAAAATTAAGGACCGTCATATCACTAATCTCCCGATAGAAAGTTAAGTTCCGAATAGGACTAACCGCCCTTGGTTACCACCCTTAATTTTTGAGCAATTTGATTTCGATGAAAATACAAACTTTCAATTTTTTGAATATCTTACATTTTGCTAGTAATAATTGTAATATTTTATGACCATTTTATTTAAGTGATCATTCTGTAATTATACATTGTAAACTCTATAACTTAAATTGTACACTTGTGATTAAATCAGGCTTCTCCGGAAATAATGGTAATATTTTGAATTTCCACCCTCCCCTTTAATATCCAGGGGGAAAATGACAATATAGCGAAAGAGAGCCTATATATATGCACAGTAAAAGTTGGATAAGTACCCAAAAATCGGAACTGAAACCGGGTAGTTATGAAGCGAAGATGTCTTTTCGGTTCTTAGAAACGGTTCGAGCCGAATATTGCCGAATTTAAAAAGGACATAGAGCGAAAGAGGAACCTTTTCATTTTTTATTTTTGCTAAATGAAACATTTACCAATGTAATAATGCTGTTTTTCTAATTAAAATAAAACCAAGCACGATATAATTTAAAGTATATTTGCTTATTTAACAAGTGATTTTTTGTGAACTGAAGTTTTTTCCCTTTTTAAGGTAATAAGTAAATATGCTCCAAATTATATCGTGTTTGGTCTCGTTTTAATCACAAGAATCTCACAATTACATTAATAAAAGTTTCACTGAAAAAGAAACTAAAAATCAAAAAGTTGTGTTGTTACATTAGTATTGTCTCATCGATATTCCAATTCAGATCAGGCTACATTATTCGCTTGTCCAGCTTTTCAAGGAGGATCCCCCCAAGTGATGTAGATGGTTAATGGGTAGTTATCCAATGGATCTGCCCGGGTACTTATCCAACTTTTACTGCATATAGATCTCTGAGGCCTTACACCACTTGCATATAAATGTACACGTGGGAAAATTTGAATTAATTATTATTAACTTTGTTATTCGTACTTTGCAGCTATTGGTATACTAAGTTTTCTAAATTTTCTAAATTTCTTTTAATATCAATATCGATTTAGTATTAATTTTCCTTAGGAAAGCTCGATTTGATTTTGATTATACACACATTATTTATTTATGAGTATTCGATTCGAGCAAAACTTTTCTACTTAATATTACCGTGGATACTGATTATATTCTGGTATTTAGCCCCCGTACATTGCAAATAGTATGCACAATTATGATATTGAAAGTGATATTTCATCGGCACCAGAATCTGTTACATGAAATACTGATACACATATTTCTTTCTGTGGCAGAAAATTTTCCGATTTGTTAAACTGATACGACGTATCGATACATTTAATATCAAAGTTGAAATATTTTTTCCCGCTTTGGCAACGCGTGCACCAAACGGACGCGCGAGTGCAAACGCGCGTTCTTTGTAAATGTTTACTTGATGTGCACAGTGAATTTTCATGTACACGGAACACGAGCAAATACGCGATCTTCACGAATGATCGCTCGATAAATACGAGAAAACAAGCAAGTAAATGTTCTTTCGTAATCATCGTTGGTGAAACGGTACATCAAAGAAACCCTTTGGTGTGAACTCATGTTTTTAATAACCTGCCACGTGCCGATAGCTGAAAAAGGGGTAAATGATGTTTTTTTTTATGAAGAGCTGTTGCTGTTCTCCTTGCGGTATCGAGCAACGACATTTTGCGGCGATTAATGGCGATACTGTTTTTCTTGGAATACTTAGGAAAGTATGTTACACATTGACGTAATTAGTGGAGGGGGTAGGGTGGGTCTCTGCCCCCCATCTCAAATTTAGATTGGGCCTTGTACGATTCTAAAATTCTAGAATTTCAAAATTTCATATTCTCGATATTCCAGAATTCCAGAATTTCAAAATTTCATGTTTTCGATATTCCAGAATTCCAAAATTTCAAAATTTTTAATTTTCGAGATTTCAACATTTCAGATCTTGGTAATTCCAGCATTCCAAAATCCTAAAATTTTCAATTTTCGAGATTTCGAAATTTCAGATCTTGGTAATTCTGCATTCACAAATTCCAAAATTTCAGATTTTTAAAATTCTAAAATTCCAAAATATTATGATTCTAAAAGTTCTAAAATTCCAGGATTTTATAACTTTAAATTTTCGAAATTTCAGAAATTCAATATTCCAAAGGAACCTGCCCTACCCTGCAAATGATTTTGGTTATTCTAATTTTTGAACCTATACAAAATTTTCTATTTTTTATTTTTTAGAATTAAATAATTTAGCAAATGTGACGATCAATTGTTATAAATTTAATTTAGTAACAGAAATACTTATTCAGCTATAAAATGATACAGAGACGTGAATATGGGCTATGTTCTTGTTTGCAGGATGGTCCGCATGATCGGCGATGAATTCCTTACGGAGGAAAGGGACCGGAAATACTACGCTGATCATTACACCTGTTGTCCACCGCCTCTCTTTATCATCCTCATCACCCTCGTGGAGGTTAGTAAACAGAGATTATTCTTTGCAATGCATATATGTAATTTGGTATATATACAAAATTTTCGAGCTTTGATCCCGTCACTGTAACTAATAAATTTTTAATGGAAACACAGAGGGGAAAGGTGTATCACGGCTGCAGGGAAAAAGCGGAAGATCGTAGATCCGCGCTTTGTTATTTATTAAAACTGCCTTTGATAGCCGCGCGTGTATCTTTTTCTCTGTTCGAATACCGTGTCAGGATTAATATCGTCGCGTCTTGTATTTTCCACGCTAAAAAGGTTTCCGCTGGTTTTCTTTTTTTTCTCTTTTATTTATCGCGTTTATTAAATTTGCCAGTGTGAATTTGTTTTCACTTACGCGGAGAATCCGTTCTGCAAAGCGTGGCCGTTAATTTTGGTTTACATTATGCGGCGGACCCTGCGCCATTGCATACGTACAACTTTATGGGATAAAGTGTAAAATGCCATAAAAGTTCGCGTAACATTGGAATAACCGGCGTTATTATGCTAAACCATTGTTTCTCGCTCTACTTTAAATTGCACCGCGGTACATGTAATACGAAACATCATTATTTTTACGAGGTATAATGCACGATAGTAATTACATAGATTACTTGCGTTCTACAATGTTAAACAATCATGTAAATTCTTTGTTCTTTTGTAAATGCTGGAAGTTGTTGTTTATTGATTCATGAACCCCGGCTATTGTGATCAGGGTACTGTGCCTCAGAAGAAGGCATCTGAAAGGAATGCGGGCCAAATTATGCCCTACCTCAAAGGTGGCGAACCTTTTTACGTGCACGTGCCAAAAGCTCCTTTCCTAAGGAAAATTTTGACGATATTAATATTAAAGGAAATTTAGAAAATAATGAAATTTTTAGTTATTCAATATTAGAAAACTTAGTATATTAATAGCTGAAAAGTACGAATAACAAAGTTAATAATTCATTCTTTTCCCGCGAATACATTTATATGCAAGTGGTGGAAGACTGTCGACTGTCTGACGTCTCAAGCAGTTTTTTTTTATTTATATTTATTTAATTAATTACGATCAGCAATTATGCTAGCTATTAGGGAAAAATTGAATCTGTAAATCGTTCACGTGCCAGTTAAATTGTTGTACGTGGCCCTACCTTAATTCGTATGTACTTTTGACACTATTCTTCTTGTCCTGTGCTGCCCTAAGTGCCCTTTTTTAAGGTACAGGCAGTACTTACTGTGTTATTAACACAGGTGGGTAAAATATAGAAAAGATATATTTAAAATATTTGATCCTACAAAGTTCAAATAAAATAAAATGGAAGTGAAATTTTATCAAATGAAATAATTTTATTTTATAGTTTAAATTATTAAAATAAAATTACTTTATTTGTCGAAATTTTACAGGTTTTACTAACAAACTAAATTATTTGTATAATTTTTTGTGGATTAATCTTGTTACGTATTCGTGTTTTAATTACAATTTGAACATTGCTTTATTAAATATTTCCAAAAAATGCATTTATTTAAATAAAAAACACATGAAGTCAAAGTAGAAAATGCCTGTTGCATGTAAAAATTAATACTTTTTTATTTTCTACGATTGACTAAAAATAATTTGGAAAAAATTACTATTTTGCAATTTATTGTTAAAGCATGTTTGAGTGGTTTTTCAAGAATTGAAATGATTTTTTAAGTAAATTCAAACTGTAATAAATAGACTATTTAATTATTATAGAAATTGACGTTTATAATTAATGGGCTATTAAAATAAACATTTAAACAAGGGGTTAAGTATATTTAAAAATTAAAACATGTTACATAGAGTGTTCTATCCAACTATGTTTATTTTAATACTGATTTCTTATCGATGGTAGATCAATAATGTTTAAAGTGTCATCGAGACCATAGCGCATACACGTAGTTCATCAACTTCTTTATTATTTTTTTCCCTTTCCTGAAAGCTATCAGTTCATACAATTACCCTTTATGCCGAGAATATCCTGTTTGTAGAACAATATGCACTTTATATAAAGTATTATCGCGTCTCTTTGATGTCAGGCTGCGTAGGTGTGATCATCATGTACATACAATCGATCAATTTTTAACAAACGCGATTTCTGTATAAAGAATTTTCAATCCTTGCATTGACATTTGTTCAGATAAATAATTAATCCCCATTTATGCCAATTTCTCCGATCGTATCTATCAGTTATTGGACACTGATGTTCCAATGAATTTTTAACCAAAGCATTTTGCAACGATTCGCATCGGCAAACACCATCGCTTAATTGGATATGAAATATCGAAATCAGTAATTTCAATTGGCGAGCAGTAATTTTCAACTTTTCGAATATTCTTTTAAAAATTAACCACTTCTTAAAGGGGAGCTAAGGTGCCCCATGGGGGGGGGATTATAAATCTTTCATTTATTATGTCAAAAAATATTGAATAATATCTTTTTTTTACCCTTGCACTTATTTACAATTAAATGTTATTTAATTTTTGTTAGATCGACAAATTTATATGCGTAATTTATACTTGGCGCGTTTGTAGTTGTTACTAGATTCTGCTTGGGGGGGGGGGGGGGGGGCACCGTAGCGAGCGCTGCTAGCGTCCTTTTGTCTATTGTCTCTCAATCGCTTTCGCCGGACATGTGTGTCGCAGATAACCGTTATAATAATTTTTGTGATTAAAGTATCTTCTCCGAACTGTCGTGCATTTTATCCACCCTCGCTTTTAATAATTTTATTTAGAACTAGTTAAAGCCACTGTCCGTCCGATCTGCCTAACGAAACATAACTGTTCGCGTCGTGGAGAGGCAGGCACAGTAGTGTTTACAGTATGTATTAGTGCGCGTCTTATCCTGCCTTGTGTCGTTTATGTGAATTATAAACACTGACGAACTTGCTGTTCTGCTTAAATATTTCACAATCTTCTGATGGTGAGTTATTTAATATTGTACTCTAATACTTTTTAATCATTCAGGATATAATTATATGTAAATGTTCAAACGAAATACGTAATAATACTATTGTGAGGTTATGGTCATGTCACATATTCTGAACGATGTATTACAAAAATACGCGGATTCTATTTTTTCAAATGATTTAAAAAGTATTCCTTAAATCATTCGTTTGGTACAGTTGGTAATCTCATTACTTCCATTCGGTATGAAACACCAGTGAAATATAAAAGATGAACGAGACATTTCCAACAAACAGATTGTAGTATAAATTAAAGTCCTTCAATTGTTAGTATTTTACTTAGACGATTTTTGACCAATTATCACAAAATGTTGTTTCTCTAACTTTTTCATATTTTTTAAATATCTAACAAACCTTAATAGCCCTTACGGTCAGTCATTGGGTCAATCTAACCTTACTTTCCTTTATTCGTGCAGTTGTATAAATTCCTTACAAAACATTTTATTACCTATAAAATAATAACAAGGAAAATTGTTCTAAAAATTACGGGGACTTCTGTACACAGTGTTAAATTTAGAAAATGAGAATAATATGAAATACGAAATTACATTAAAATTGGGGCCTTCTCCATGGTCCGCCATACGAGGGTTAGCTTTAAAAAAAAGGTGTATAAAAGAGTTAAGCATTGACGAACGAACACAATTATTGAGTATCGTTTCTATTAGTTATTATATTTTACAATTTCAACTTATTAAAGAAAATTCCTCGAGTTACTTGAAATCCACAATTAGGGCAACGTTTTCCTCTGAAACGTGCTTGAAAGCTTGGAAATTCATAGAATTTCTTAAATACGAAAGGAAAATGCGAAGGGTCTCAGGTGCGAAGCGGGATGTACATGCAACGTTTTCCGATCGAGCTACATAGCTCGTTAATTAAATCTTCGGATATAGCCCGCGCTGTAAGCTGCAATTACGGAAGCGACACATGCTACCATATATTGTACTGTTTCTAAATGAAAATATTACCAACAATTTAGAAAAGCTTAGTGCTATGTTTCTGAGTGAAATGTTTGTTTTAACCTTTGTCCGGGTAGTCTATTCGTGTAACGTAGACAGATATAATTTCATTCATTGAAATATGAGGACCAGCATTTATTCACGAGAATAGTGATTTTTATTTTTGAAAAATTTATAATTTATATATTAGCAATATATAGAGGGGCACTATAGAATAGACATTCATTAATTCTCCGCCATATAATTCCTCGTTAGGAACGCCTTGTGCTCATCCCTATTACTCACAAACACGCGAAACATACGAACTGTGAAGATGGCACGCATGCCATTCGCGTTCAATAATTCCCCGTTCAGAACAAATGCCCCCCTTACGGAACCTGAAACGCGGGGAATTATCAAGCGCGTGGTGTAAATATTGTCCAGAGGCACACCTCTGGAATGCGGTTGAATTAGAGGGGTGGCACCTACGGCAATCCATTCAATGAGACTTTTCAAAAATTAATAATAATTTAATAATAATTAATTAAAAAGTTAATAATATTATAATGTCTTCTACTATAAAATTTTCGTAAGAATATTCCATCAATTAAGGTGAAATTATTAATTTGCTGAACAATTGAAAGTGAATAAACAAAAATATCGTTCAATTCCATTATTTTCTAATTCTGGCCTCAGCCAATAAACAATACATGTGACTGGAGGCAGGTCAACGAATTTAATTGGACGGCAACTTAGCTGCAACGAACAGTACTTACACTGGCGTCCATAAGTCCATAAGTCTCAAGTCATTTGGTCCAATTTTAAAAAGAGTATTCTGTTTTAAAGAGTGTCCGGTGACTTATGAACTGCAGTGTATAGTTGTCGTTGCTATATTTCACGATAAACTTTTACATCTGAAACCGCACGATGTGTCGGCCGTATAGTTGCACGCGGCATGTGAATCGAGAGTAGCATACGCAGGTCAACAGTAATCTACCTTTTTCTCTTACCTTCTATCTTTCAACGTCGCGTTCGCGAGGTTCTCCCTTAAGGTACTTTCCCACGCGTGTAATTTGTAGCACGGAACATACCGGCGCATT